ATAGCGAGGCCGATTAAGAAGTCTCGACTGGAGACCCAGCCTGGGTCAACAACGTAGGAACGGAGTAAGGGGATGACAACTGGGCCACCGCCAAATATCACAGTGCCGGCGAGGTACATATTTGCGAAGAGATCAAGGGCCAAAGGGGGTAGTGAAACTTTGGCTCTGGAGACAAGTATGGCGATAAAGGACACTGCGGGTTCTGGATTAGCTCACTCATCATTCCAAATCCACAATGGGACATACCAAAGAAGAAAGCAACAATCATAATCCCAACACGAATACGAATCACATGGTCCTGTGACAGCCCTTCCCTTCCTTCTGAAGCCTGGGTATTAGTTTGTTGTTGCGGCAAAGCCCCCGCATCTGGTTTTCTCATCCGCAGCATCTCCATTCCCGGCTCCTGAGCTGAATTCCTTGCAGCCGTATCCCCCAAGCCCGTGGAAACCGGGGGATCACCTTCCGGCTCGGGCTGCCGATTCCTATTTTTCCACGCACTCTTCGCTCTCAGAATTTGCTGATACACCAACCCATCCCACAGCACAGTAGCAACACCACCAGAAACCATAAGAATAGGGAAATACCAAAGTGCGCTATAACAGAGGCCAGCACATGCGCCAAAGATTACAAGGATTCGTGAAATTTTATCACGGATGGCCTTTTCAGCTAGCTGGACAGCAGCAAGAGCAATAATGCCTACGGTTGAGGCATTTAGGCCGGAGAGAAGAGCGTAGACTGGAGCGGGCAGTTTTTCATCGATCCGTTGCACGCCAAGAGAGAGTGCATACATGCCGATTGCGCCGGGGAGACTAGCGGATTAGTAAGTACATTACCTCAAATCACAAGAGCTGCATAAAAGTATACACATACGACCAGAAGAAAAATGCAAGCAAGGCCGGGATAAACCCCGCGTGGAGCAAAGCCAAGCAAAACAACATCTTTGTTGACCCTGGTCCTGGGAGACCTTGACATATGGCGAAGAGTTCTTGGTACTACACCGATTAGTCCCACAGTATACTATTCAGATAAAGAGTACCTACCGTCTGTTCATCAACCCACTTTTCCTTCTCGACGAACCGCGCGTGAAAGATCTGGAAATGAACTGGCGGTCCCCCGAACGACGTGAATCCCAGATACCAGGTATGCCGAACGACTTCGCTCAAGCGACTGGATAGCGGCTCTTCCGCAACTCCAGGATTGGTTGGTCCGGCATGACTGCGCCGGATTTGATATAGTGCTCGTAGGGACGAGACGAGTCGCGACTGATTAAGGAGGAGCATTTTAGATTGTCCACGAATAAACCACCAAGAGGGACAGATTTTACGA